AGCTACTTTTTCATTCTATATAATTTCTAGTAACTTTCTATTTATGAATATAACGCAGATTATAGTGACATTAGCTATTTATTAAACATAAATATAGGCACTAAAATTTGTACATTTAAATTTATTAAATTAAATTTAAAAATATGTAAAAGATAACGATTTACTAGATATTAGATTTAAACGGATCTGCATTACGCTTAATACTTTCGCGTAATGGAATCTTTTAAGTTAACTTTATCAGCTCGAGAAATGATAATATTGGCTGTTACAGGAGACGATTTCAAATAAGAGCTTGCCCGATGCCAAAATTCATAAACATAAAAAACCAAAACTTGCGAAGTGTAAAACACTGTATACTTAGATAAAGTAGCCGTATGACGCCATCTTGGTGACTGCAATTTTTTGTGACAGCAATTTTCAATGCACAAATACTGAGTTTCTATTCTTAAACGCCACTTTTTAATGAGTAATATTTTCACATTCTTAAATATTTACTAAGTTTTCTTTTAATTATTTTTCTTTTTTCTGAAATTATACAATTTGTTTTTTATTCCATTCAGGGAAAAGGATACCTAATCTATATGTTAAAACTTTTTCATTTCGTCTTTCATAATATGCTAAAACATTTTTTCTAAACTCTGATATCTTTTGCAGTCGTTTTTTTAAAAATATAGTTAGGTATAATTAAAATAATATCAGCTTATTTAGATACTTTAAAATTAAGGTATGTGATTAAATAGTTAGTAATTACTAAATGGCAGCTTTGTCGCATTTGAAAATAAAATAGATGAGTTTTGATTTGCTCAAAAATCAATAAACTTCTTATTCAAATTCTGAATATAAAATATAACAAATTTATTTTGCTTGCACTGTCATAAAATTTTANTATATGAAATCAAAGCATTCTTGGTTTTGCGAAGCAAACCAAGCAAGAATTGCGAAGCAATTCTCCGGGGGTTGGCGAGCGTCAGGGAGCAGGGGGCGGAGCCCTCTAGTATTTAAAATAATTAAAAGTAAAGAAACTTCTATTTCAAATAGGAATTAGATAATTTTTTTGAAGCGCAGAAATTTTAAATTTATTCATTGGAGAATTATTTAATATGTAATGCTAGCTTACTTTCAATTCTGGCAACAAAATAGTCAAATATTTAAATGCTATTAAAATCTATTTATAAAGCTTTCTAACGAAAGATTATTAACAATATTTAAAAACAATATTTGCAATCCATTTTAATTTTTTTTAAGGTGGATAAATTTAATGCTATTGAATTTGTCACACTTCTAATTAAAAAAAAGCGCGACATATTTACTTTACATAGTTAATGAATAATATCACGTGAAATTTGCAACAAACGAATAAATAAATTTATTTAAAACTTTCTGTGACACAATCTGATGTTTTCGTTCAAATTCCATTTATCTCTACCAATTCTATGCAGTCATATCTTATGTCGTTTTTTATGGCGATCTCCAACACGTAAACGATATAATTTAAAGCCTAAATTTGACATATTTGAACACCCAAATGCGCAACAACCCGTAATTATAAATTTAAAAATATGAAACAAAAAAATTAAAAAGAAAAGCGAAAGAAAACTAGCAGTTCGGGCGCAAAGATACTTCCTCGTTTATACAAGTCAACAAAATGGCGACAGTCAATCGCAATCTAAAGTAGCACAGAGGTAACGAGAAAAATGCTACTTTATCTAAGTAATCCAGGGCTTTGGCGAAGAGAAGAATCAAATAAAATATATTAATGAAATTTACAGATATACTTCTTAATTTTTTCACGTAATAATTTTTGACATTTTTGTATACTTAATATCTGAACCAGACATATTATTGAATATTTGTATAGTTTAAAAGTAGTAAGAAAGCAGACGAAAACTTAATCGGGAGCCCGAGGACTTCTATCAGATAATGAACACATATCAGGCTCAGGTTGAGCCCCTCTTATTTTTACAGTCTACTAATATAAGTCTTCTTTCGAATATACAATAATTTATGAAGATTTAGTACTTATTTTAATGCTTATTTATTTATACACTACTTTACATTTTCAGTTTTATTAATTTCTTTCACTATTTCATATAAATATTTCGAGAGATCAATTTATAAGTTTTCTAGCTTTCCCCGCTTCATAGGGAAATTTTTCGAAAATATTTAAAGTGAAAGTAAATTTCATAGTTTAAAAATTTTATTTTTTTAGTCAAGAAATTTAATTTTATATAATTTTGAGTACCACGTGAAACGAAAGTCCCTAAAAGAACTGACGATTTGTAAAATTAATTCTAGAAAAATTAAAATAGAAATTTACGATTTGCTACAGTCGGTTACAGAAACTACGCAGTTTGTAAATTTATTACTACTGTGACTAATTAACTAATTTATTACTAATGTGGCTAATTATTACAATTGTGACTAATAACAATGTACTGTAAGTAATTTTAATCATTATTTAAAATCAGTTACAAAGTTGATAAACTGATAGTGTTGCTGACGAGGGAAAAAATAATAAAACAATGATTTCCTGTGCATATCAGACCATTCTAACTGAAGGTACGCTAATTTTATCATCAAATCGTACCATGTTGTTATTACAAATGGTGACTATTTCAAAATCTTTGTTAGTTTTCACAAAGAGTAATTAATTATTGCTTCCACTTTTGAAAAAACTTATGGTTTTCTCAATTAGCGGTGTCATCTGGTGACGAACTTTTTTCTGATTTCATTAACTCAAGAAGATTTTTTTAAAATTTTTTTTGGGGGGTTTTTTAAGCAAGTTACCATACATTCCTATTACCTACCGTTTTTCTCCAATTGAATCCGCAATTCGTTGGTCATTTTTGGAACACCTTGAAAGTAATCTAATAATTATGCAGTTATTATTTTTAAGTGTTGAAAAAATTATGCTTGTCCCGAGCCCACGCTAAGGATTTCAAATTATTAGCCAGTAAATCAGCCAAATATCAAAAGTATTCGCCGATTTTCGAAAACCTTCGCCAAATGCAAATCTTAAAAAATTTTTATGATTATTGTTTTTTCCCATAAAAAACAATTTAACGTAGTTTGTTTCAGGCTTATATTATTTGGACCCAATTCTAATTGGTTATGAGGCGCATCTACCGAAAATTAATGTAATCGAATAAAAAATACTGATTTGTTTAGAAAAATTCATTTTGACTTAATTTTGAGGATCGAGTTAAATATATATTTTTCTTGCCAGAGGAAAAAATCAGTTGCCTTCGCCAAAACACAATTTTATTCGCCAAATTTACGATTTTATCTCATCTGGTGAGGTGGCGAATGCTTAGAGCGGGCCTTGCTTGCCTTAACTTTTATTTCACTGCCATTTCCGAGAGAATATGTGCTTGCGAGATGGCAACTGTGCATAAATGATATGAGATTATCTTACTTGTATTTCAGANGTAATAATTTTTGACATTTTTGTATACTTAATATCTGAACCAGACATATTATTGAATATTTGTATAGTTTAAAAGTAGTAAGTACATGAAAACTTCATCCTGAGCCCGAGGACTTCTATCAGATAATGAACCCATATCGGACCCAGGCTGCTCCTCTTAATTTTACAGTCTACTAATATAAGTTTTCCTTCGAATAAAATTTTTTATGAAAATTTACTACTAATTTTAATGTTTCTTTATTTAGACACTACTTTACAGTTTCATTTTTATTTTTTTTTAAATTTCTTTCATTATTTCTTATGAATATTTTGGGAGATCAGTTTATAAGTTTCTAAAGTTTCCCGTTTCATAGGGAAATTTTTCGAAAATATTTAAAGTAAATTTCATAGTTTAAAAAATTTATTATTTTAGTCAAGAAATATAATTTTATATAATTTTTGAGTACCACGTGAAACGAAAGTCCCTAAAAGAACTGACGATTCGTAAAATCAATTCTAGAAAAATGAAAACAGAAATTTAGGATTTGCTGTATTGCAGCGACTAATTAACTAATTTATTACTACTGTGGCTAATTATTACAACTGTGACTAATAATAATGCACTGTAACTAATTTTAATCATTATTTAAAATTAGTTACAAAGTTGACAAACTCATAGTGTTGCTGACGAGGAAAAAAATAATAAAACAACGATTTCCAGTGCATATCTGAAAGTACGCTAGTTTTATCATCAAATCGTACCATGTTGTTGTTACAAATGGTGGCTGTTTCAAAATCTTTGTTAGTTTTCACAAAGAGTAATTAATTATTGCTTCCACTTTTGAAAAAACTTATGGCTTTCTCTGCTAACGGTGTCATCTGGTGACGAACTTTTTTCTGATTTCATTAACTGAAGAAGATTTTTTTTTTTTTTTAGGTTTTTTAAGCAAGTTACCATACATTCCTATTACCTACCGTTTTTCTGCAATTGAATCCGCAATTCGTTGGTCATTTTTGGAACACTTTGCGAGTAATCTAATAATTATGCAGTTATTATTTTTAAGTGATGAAAAAATTATGCTTGTCAAGAGCCCGCGCTAAGGATTTCAAATTATTAGCCAGTAAATTAACCAAATATCAAAAGTATTCGCCGATTTTCGAAAACATTCGCCAAATGAAAATCTTAAAAATTTTTTATGATTAATGTTTTTTCCCATAGAAAACAATTTAACGTCGTTTGTTTCAAGCTTATATTATTTGGACCCAATTCTAATTGGTTATGCGGCTCATCTACCGAAAATTAATGTAATCGAATAAAAAATACTGATTTGTATAGAAAAATTCATTTTGACGTAATTTTGAGGATCGAGTTAAATATATGTTTTTCTTTCCAGAGGAAAAAATCAGTTGCCTTCGCCCAAACACAATTTTATTCGCAAAATTTACGATTTTATCGCATTTAGTGAGGTGGCGAATGCTTAGAGCGGGCCTTGCTTGTCTTAATTTTTATTTCACTGCCATTTCCGGTAGAATATGAGCTTGCGAGATGGTAACTGTGCATAAATGATATGAGATTATCTTACTTACATTTCAGATCTTTCCCATCATCATGCTACTGGATAGAAGATTCATAATTCTTCTGTTGCTCATACTGCTGGATGTGGCATATACTAAAAATATTCATCACAAGTCAAAACATCATCATGATAATGAAGTACTGGATACTGATGAACGCTTGGCTTTGGAACACAGTCAGAGAGTAGCCGAAGCTGGAGCTTGTGATGAACCTAAACTCCATGTTATACACGTCAGTGATCATTATCCCGGAAGATACTTTTTGCCTCATTGTACAGTACTGCATAGGTGAGTTCTGAATAACGGTTTTCTTCTCCTCTAGAAATGAGTAAGAGCTTATTTTTTTAGGGACTTATTTTCGAATCCACACTGTCTAAAATTACGGTGTCTAAAATTACCGAGAGTAGTCAATCCATCCGGTTCACCATAAAGTTTATGATTAAGAACATTTACGGTTTTGAAACCGTTTGCAAATGGTAAGGTTAGAAAACCGTGAATACAGTAACCATTTACAACTAGCATAGTTTCTGAACCGTAAAAGTGAGTTTTAAACGGACATAAGAGTCATGTGGTTGCGGCGCCATTTATGCGTGAATGACAATTTCGCATTCTAATAATCCACGGCCACCGATTGAAGAGTGCAACACACTGGAAACTCTTAATGTATTGAAGGAATGAAAGAAATATTGTTGCATCAACACTGGGTTTCGAACACCTATTCAGCAGGTCACGAGATTGACTGGTTAACCCTCTCAGCTGCAGTATGTATCCAGTTGCACGGAACAAAATGGCTTTATAAGGTGGGTCTAGTTGGCGTGGATGGAATTCTGGTTGTTTAACCGTATTTTTAAAAAAAACTACCTATAAACAGTTTTTTTCACAGTTAACCATTTACAACTAGCATAGTTCCTAAACCATAAAATGATATTTAAACAATAATAATATATAATAATATAAATGATTCTAAAACATAAAATGATATTTATCATCTTTTTTTTATGGTTATTTGATAGTTTTGTTTGAATAAGGTAAAATAACAATTAAATAAATTGCGATTTAACCTTTTTCGCCGAGAAATTTCTCACACTGCTGAGATTTAATCATCATTTTTTACACAAAATGAGTTTTCAATTTTTATTCTTAATAACTGAACCAAACGGATATTTTCCTATTTGAAAAGTAGTAAGAGATTATATAAATCCCGAAGACTTCTCTTAGAATACTTGTTTTTTACTCGGCACCCTTTTTTATACATAGTAGAATAGAATAAGTAATCTTTTTTCGTTTTTTTCATTTTTTTTTTCAAACATGAATCTATTTGTTGTTTAGTCTTTATGATAAGCATTCTAAAATATAATGATTTATAGTGGAAACTAACAAATTGTGCTGGTTTATAGTTGACTACCTTGTTACATCTTGAAAAAAAATTCCTTATTCCTTAATTAAAATAGGTCATCTTTTTATATCGGATTTACATAAAAGTGTGTTTCAACAAAGCTCTTTTAAAATCCATCAAAACACGCTGGTTTTGATCATGTTGAATTGCCATGAAGTTGTTTCAATTCTGATGTCCACATTTTGAGGACACCATAAGGAGATTTCTAATTTAACTTCTCAGATCACATGGCCCATTGACATACAATTTGAAAACCCTCCGGCGCTCAACATGATCAACCAGATGAGAGAAACAAGTATGATACTGATTCTGGCATACTGATTCATTGGTATAAGCTGCCGAGTTCCGCACCATTTAAAGTAGTACCACAAATTGAGCTGAGACGCAATCTGCAGAAGCATTGATCAAACCTGCGAGCAGACAGAACTACCGAGCACATAGTGGCAATCCTGATCGACTGCAATCGGTGTGGCCAAAACCAAACATCATAAATCATTCGATGCCTTATGTTGGCCCATCAAGGAAAAAAACAGCTGAAATTTTGTTTAGGGTTTATTTATGACGTTTTAGTTAAGGAAGAAACGACGACATTTCGGCAAACTAGGGCCCAAAAGTGATACATTTTTAAATTTTGTAATAATTTTAAATTTTACATACATTTTTAAATTTTGTTTCTTATAGGCACAATTTTTTTTGAAAATCCTTGCAAATATTTTTTTTTAGCGGCATAGAAAAGAGTTTTTGAAAAAAATAATTTCCATAAACAGACAAAATTTTTTTAAAAAATTTTACCAATTTTTTATTTTATTATTATTATTATTTTACGTTATTAAAAAGTTAGTGATGCATCTTTCCCCGACTTAACCATAAATCTGAAAAAGAAAGAAAGTTTCTTTATTCTTCAAAAAGAAAGGAAACAAAAATATGAATTTAATCTTTTTTGTAGAACAAACTATTTAATACTCCTTCAAAACTTTAATACAATTTTCAGCTTTTAGATACCATGGCTTGCTAAAAAATATGTGAATAAGAACAATTATTTTTAATAAAAGACTTGAATTCAGTATAATCTATGTTTGGCAAATGGATTAAAATGTATTCATAAGGAAATCCATCGAAAATGGAAACGTAAGAACGAAATTTGACATATATTCCATAAGAAGGAGTGAAACGTCAATAAGAAAGCGATTTTTCTTATCAGTTAATGCTCGGATTATACATAAAAATATAAACAAAATAAAACGAGTACAGACACGTTTTTCATTTGCTTTGGAATTTTATAGCAATAAAAGTGACCGGATAACACCTGTTTTTCCTACAGCGAAACAAGCTGGACTTTTTTTTTTCCTTTACAGGAAAGGAAGAAAAAAACTGAGTGTGATTTAATAAAAACGTGTGGAGTTTAATGGAGATCATTTAACAGCTATCATTTATTTTTTTGTATTATCCTTGAGGTTCCCCATTTTTCATTTAGGCTGATTGATCATTTAGGCTACGGAACCCTAAATGATCAATCTTTTTTTCGGGGGAACCCACAGTCATAGTAATCTGGTCAATGTTGTCTTAATGTGCTTTATCAATCGAGTACATAACGACAATTTCGAGCGTATTTACCAACCAAAAGCTACGTTATTCAGGAAATATATACATAATAAAAGGAATATCATTTTCTTACATTTTATCATTAATAATATTAGATTAGGTTTTATGTTCGACAGTGTAATTCGCAAGCAATTATCTGCAGCTGAATCTAGTCTAAATTTATTTTAAATAATTTCGAAAAGGCAACTGTAATATTAAGTAAATTATGGATTATTGATTAGATCTAAATATGATTAGCTCAAAAATGGTAATAAAAAAAAAAGAAAACGTTCTATAAAAAAAGGCCTAACTCTCGGAACCTTTTTTACTCTATCGCGGAACCACAAGGGTTTCGCGTAACACCATTTAGGAACCACGGCATTTACCTAGAGCAGCCAATTTTTAAGTTCGAAAGCTATTTTCCTAATGGTAGTAAAATTCCGATTTAATGAACGTTTTTAAGAAGATTTATACATGTACATCTAACAGTGTTTTCATTTAGTCTCATAATAGTATGACTAGAAAGTCTTCAATATATAAATTTAAATTATTTAAGGGAAATAGTAGTTGAAAACATTTTAATTTATTAAAGCAAAATTTATTACAAATCAAGTACAAATTAGGACTGTTAATTTTTATTTAAATTTCAACGGCCTGGAGTGGCATCTAAACTGATTCTGAGTTTGTCTTTGGAAAAGAACTGTAATAAATCACACTCCCCTTGCCGTCGGGCTAACCATGGGATGTTTTCCTGATTTTCTTCTTCATGAAAATAACCATCAGCAAACTGCTTAAAAGTTAGTAGTTATGCCTAAATATCTAAAATAATGAAATGTCCATTACGAACAATTTTTGATAATTATTATTTACTGCATTCACTAATTATTTACTGCTGTATACAAATCACGAAATTTTTGTCATTTGGCTACTGGTATGTGACAGTGAAAAGACGAATTTCCGTCGAGCAGGTAGGTGCTAAATTTTGTATGTATTATCCTCACAAGTTGATTTTTCTAAGATGCTTTATCACGTGGACTTATTTTTGTTAAACTACAATTGTATTTATGATCCACACTTGTCGGTTTTTCTGTAATATTTTTTCATGCGGCCGTATATATGTTGAATTAATTTTGTATTTATGATCCACACTTGTCGGTTTCTCTATAAAGACCCAATAATTTTTGTAATTTAGAACTTTTTTATTTTCAGATGTGGCAAGCATGCTGGATGTTGTGGTACAGATCGTTTACGATGCGTTGCCAAAACAAAAGAAAAGGTGACGCTCCATTTCTACAGTGTTCGTATCGGTGAACATGGTGCTCCAACAGAACGTCAAATCGAAAAATTAACATTCTACAATCACACTAAGTGTGCATGTGCTCCTGCGCACCATGCCATGAAACATGATCTATGATAAGCAACCTGATTATAAGTTAACATTTATTTAATAGCAGGAGGTAATATTTACTATGAACATGCTAAGCTGGACTTAAATGCAATAATGTGAAAATGCAGCGGCGCGATTTTTATTGACTACAAAAACTGGACATTGTATTTTTGCATCCATTTTGCAATTTTATCATGTTTACAAGATATTTTTATTCGATAGTTTTATATTTGGAGAATAAAATTGTAAAAAGAGACAATACTTTTGATTTGATTACGGTTTTTTCCATGTTTATATTATTCAGTTTATATATTTCCATGTTTATATTATTCATATTATGCATCTAAGCATAATTATTGTTAAAAGGCAACATCATTGTGATGGCTTAAAATAAAAACAATTATGTTAGTAAGCTTACTGATAGCACAATAAGCATACAAATTTATTTTTTCATTATTCTAAACGTTAAATTGTTGTTATTGATTTTATTTAGTAGAATGAGTTTCGTGAAAAAGCAATAAATGCTTCGAGTCTTTGGTTACGTTAAAAACATTTGCTTGCATCAAGCTTACAGCACGCTTTATAAGTTTTATAAATTTTATCCGATTCACTTAAGAATTTAATAGAATAACGTTCTCAAAAAAATCATTTAATTGTTGAACCATAATATCCACAACTTGAATCATATTAATTTTTCAATTTGGTGAAACATTAATAAGGTGTTGAGTTGACCAACATTTTGTTCAAGTTGAATAATATTATTGCGTAATCGTGATTACCAAGTTTTAATAATCACAAAATTTGTTTTTACTTGGCGTCTTATAAAAATTACAGCATATTCATACTTATTAATGTTTAACGAGCCCTAATATTTTTAGCAATTTAATATAATTTTAGGAGCTTGTAATTGTTTTTTTTTTATTTCCAATAAAAAAGTGACGAAATGGAAAAAAATAAAGAAAAATAACTTGAAAACCTTGTTTTATCATTTAATCTATCCAAATTTATATATGCAAGAAGAAATCTTGTTTACAACAGAAGCTATTACTACATTACTGAAAAATGTTGTCATAATTTTAATGACTAGCACTCGCAAAAATATTGAATGAACCTGGAACCATAATATCTTATAAATTTTCTACAACTTTAATTACTTGTTGAATTGAATCAAGGCTCGGTAAAAGGCGGGATAATATGGTTTGATCTTGCTCTATATTACCGAAATGAGAAAAATATAAAACAATGTTTTCAAAATAACCATCGTTTTCTGTAACATTGTGGGGCAGACCAAACTAACAAAATCTGTGCAAATATATATGTTCAATTGAATGGTCTAGGCTATTATGACAAAAAAACATTGCTTTATTATTTTTTCTGCTAAAAACGGCGACTGTTGACAAAATTTGTAACTAGTTTTGATTATAGCTAGTAAACGTGTAACAAGTTAGCTGCACTAATTAGATTGCAGTAAATTCCTGCTTTCCTATGTCCTTTGATAGTTTTTTTTTCTTCCAAATCGTCAATTATTTTTTGGGATACACAAGAGTTAGAGTATTTTATTTTTTTCATATAGAGAGACATAAGTGCAAATAAGAAGACATAATTTTATTAAACTTTATGAAAGCATGCACAACAATCACTCCAACAGGAAAAAAACTTACAGAAATACAATGAGTAGTAATTAAAATAAATCATTTCTTTTAAAGATAAGATAATGCCATGTAACCCAATTATTCAAATTCTTTAAAGACACAAAAAATATCAAGTTTTCATTTTCGATATGTTTTTTGCAATTAAAAAATAGAAGCGAAAAAATGGGAAAAACCAAAACGGTTGAAAACGACAATCGGGTTAAGCTTTTTAATAACCAAACTTATGTATATTTTTTTCTTAAATCTTCATTATAGTCTTGGCAAACAACGTAGTTTAAGATATTGTAGAGTCCAGCAAATTAGAAATCTTCTTAATTTCTTAAGAAATTAAGGATTCTTTTCCTACGACGCCTCGCAGGAATCTGTAAGGAAAATAAATAAGTTGATTAAAAATAAAGGAGAAAAACAATTTATTAAATTAACAACTTAAAGGAGGATCGATCTCTACGTTTTTAAATGTTAATTATTATTCCAGGGGACAGGCGAGTTCCTGGACAAAATATTTCAGGACTTAATTGTAGTTAACTAATTTTTGCCCCAATTTAAATTATATTATTTTAAATGATAAAATTTGAACCGAATCTGTCGATTCGGTTCAAATGACATGAAAATTTAAAAATACGACTTTTTAAGGAGTTTTTGCTCAGAAATTATTTGACAGGTTCATATCAAGTTTTAAAGTTTGTCGTAATAAATTTAACAGTTAAAATTAATGCAAACTTTTTACACTTTATAATTTAAATTTTGTGCGATCATTATTGAACTAAATTATAAATAATTATGCAAAGTTCTTTTATGAGTGAAATTATATTCAGATAAAAAGGTCCAAAAATTGTAAAGATACCAACTTGCTCCGCATAGGAAATAAATAGTTTCCTGTGGTATTCTTTTAATGTATGATTCTTGGTTTAGTATATTCAATTTATAGGGTTTCTACTCAGCACTATTTCTAAATAATTCAAAGGCCTGCGTCATATGCCACTTTCTTACAGTTCAATCGTATTGAGCCCTTTAAAAAGTTCAAATTAACCGTTCATCAAAATTAACCGAAATTCTACAAATTTTAATCTGCAGTTCTATACCGTTTTTAAAAATATTTCGTCGAATCCGGAGTAGGTGGCATTCCTGATAAATAAAAATTGAAAGGTAAGACTTTTTTGAGAGTTTTTTTGCTCAGAAATTATGAGATGGGTATCTACCAAGTTTTGGATTTTCATAATTGATTGATTTTTGCATTAAACAGTTGAAAACAATGTAAAGTTTTAATTTTTCTTGCAAATGTAAATTTAACAGTAATGACTCTAGTTTGCGGCTGCTCTGCTGAGAGAATCATTAGGACCATATTTTCGAGATGGCGGCTACCTCAAGAATCCGAATTTGCCAAATTAAAGGTTTGTTCGTTCGAAGAAAGAACGTTTTTGTTCTCGATTTTGTAACTGAAATAATCGTTTGCATTAATTGATTTGTGCACAGGTTCCCAACATGGGCACTAACGTCCACCAGAGGGTGTTAGAACTGTGTAGATAATTTGTACTGTGTAGATAATCAGTACAGTTTAAAGAAGAAAATATGTTTAAAAATTGAGTGCACATCAAAATTTATTATTTCATTTTTTATAGGAAAACCAATTCATATTAAATACTGCATAAATTAAACGCCATTAAGATACTTATTTATTTATCAATTTATTGAGAAAAAATAATCAATTTTATAGTGAAGACCACATCTTGCTTGCTCTTCCCCCAAAATTCTCTTTGAATTAAAAAAAATTTTTTTTTACGTTTTTCTATTTATTTTATTATTTTTTATGGCTTCGTGCTTTAAAAAAATGTCATCTCATGCTTTTAACTCCCTTATAACGAGAAATTCAGTATAATAACACTGGGGAACAAATTATTTTTTTAGTATTCCCGCGTCGGTGATTTCAAATTTGAAATTGATTTCTTTGTACAAGCTACAGTATTTATGCAATTAAACAATATATTCCTAAAAAGAATATTTTTTTTTTACACGAGTGAATACTAAGTGTCCCCACTTTTTAGCTACGCAAGGAGTGGTAGGAAAAAGGCGATAGTACATTCCAGTTTATCATGCGATACGTCACGGTCAGGGGCTTTTTGATACAATGATACAATGCTTCCATTTCAAATTCTAATATTTATTATTAATTATTTGTCATCATAAATTGAACTTTTTCAAAATAAATATTAATAGTGAAACGCTTGTATAAATACCTGAGAAGTTTTGAAATTTTTTTGTTTAGACAAAAAGTTTTAAAAAAAAACACGACTAGCAAAACTATTTGCTTTGACTTTTTTTGAAAAAAAAAAATAATTGGCATTACTATAGATATAAAGAATTCAATAAATATATTTTCAGCACTTCATTTGAGCGTCGCAAATTTTTTTAATAGTAGCCAAACAAGGCTGCCAGCGTCTAGACTTTTTGAAAATGTTTTATTGAGTGGTTGACAGTTGAAAACTAAAGCTTTCAGAACTTTTTAAAAATCGAAATTTTTTAAAGCCTCACCTCCAGAGAGCTGAAACTAGATGACGCTATATATGAACTTTTTTTTTATATAGTGGTGGGAAAAATAGCTTAAAATCAAATTTATAAAACTAAGACTTATACACAGAATGCATGCCACAGTTGACTATAAATGTAAGAAATGATAGAAACGCAATTTTTGGTTATTCTTATCTTTTTAATTATTCAATTATAACTGCCTCAATTATAATAACCACATTTCAAATTATTGAGATTTATAAGAAAATCACACTTCTTATTTACGTTCAATAGTAATCTGAAATAAATATGCTTGAAAAAGTTGCGGATTTTAATAACTTTAGTCATCACCTTTTTCATATTTCACCATTGCTATGGCAATCCAGTATACATCAAAACATAAACTTAACTAACATTGGAAGAAATGTTCCCAAAAAGCGTAGTAAATTGGCAATCCTGCAAAAACTTCACCTCGACAGCTAGAACAAAGGGCGTTTCACATGAGCTTTTGAATCATTTACATAGTGTGGTGCACGAAGAATAATTTTAAATCAAATTTACAAGACATTATTCATTAAGAATCATTAAGACGTAAATTTAGCTACCAATAAAATAAAAATTTCCCAAAAAATGTAGAAAGTTGGTAGCCTGGAGCTATAGTACCGAGTTTGTACAGACTTTCATAAGTTTTCCTACCACTTCCAAAGATTTTACTACATAACTATGACAACCTCGAAAAATTGTCCACACGCAATATGAAAAAATGGCGCTAATCATAAACGTAACCAAACTGTTCTTTATTTTATCATTTTAAATACAACTTACCATCGTGGACTGTTTTATATTTTTACTTCCACCACTGCTGGTAGCTGACTGGATGATAATAAGGTGATGGGTAGTAATGAGCCACTGGAAGGGCTGGGATGGAAGGATGGTAATAAAAACCGGGCCAAGCCACGTTCTGCTGTTCTGGCTTCTTTTCTACTTCCTCTTTCTTTTCTTCGGCGAAGACAGAGGCAAAGAGCATCACGCCCAAAATCAAAGCAATCTGAAATATTTCAAAATAGATAATAATTAAAAAATCGATTTCTAGTTCTAATTAAATAATTTTGAAACTTAAAATGATACATTTGTTTAGAGAAAATGATGTATTACTTCTCTAGAATGTCACAATTCACATGTTGTTCAATTGCTATTCTGTGCTAAGTACAATGCATTTTCATCAGAAATCAAATGATTTTTGCTTTGCAAAAATTTATAAGTTCTATTATTCTTGTACATAAATAAAATATATTTTTAAAAGGCATAAAATTGGTGCCACCATCATCTCTCACACCCTTCCCCCCCCCANCCCCCCCCAAAAAAAAAAATTGGTAGAATTTCAAGAATTTTTTTTCTTTAGCTTATTATGGGCTATCGTTCCAAAGAACCCTTTTTTTTTTCAGAAAGATTAAAACTGGTGAATCAATTATTTCATTTTTGAAAAGGCATTCGTGCATAAAATATAATTAATAATAAATATATGAGCATTGATCCAAATTTATGTGACTGCGATGTTTTAAAACTTTAGAGGGAGACAAATAGTAAATGTTTTAGGCATAAATGCCCTATCACACTTTTCATAAAGGTATTTTTTACATCTCTATAAAATGTAATGGCTTTACAATAGTAATCCATAACGGGTTATTATCCAATTTCTCAATTTAACTATTTATTCGAAATTGCTTATATATTAATAAGAGGTGACGATAATTAGGAAAAAATAATATGTAGGAGCAAAATACGAATATGACTATTTTTAAAAACCTTTTTTTTATTTTCACTTTATTTCGAACATACGTAATTGTTGAAAGTTCTAACGATGCTCATTTTTAAATAAACTGTGGTGAAATAGACAAAATATTGTTATCGCAGTCACGAATAAATGGGTTGGCTAAAGCTAATTTCTTTTCACCTGGTTGTCACTACCTTATAAGATTATCACATAGCTGTCAAGTCTTCTGGAAGATTTTATTTTTGCATTTTAAGTAGTGGTAAAAGTGTGATTTCTACTTCATTTTTGGATTTTCAAATTTAAGTAAAACTGATTTTAACTAACACCACAAATGAATAAATTTAATATATATGCAAATACATGATTATAATACCTTGGTGTAAATAAAGTATTAGCAAAATATAAAACTATTTTTTGTTTATAATTTATTTCATTTCTCTGCCATTTCGGAAAAATCGATTTTAAAAAGCGCAAAAAAGGTGGCAACTATGCTATCAAGGATACAAAGATCGAAAATATTGTATGTATTCCTTTTAAATAATAAACAGAAAGGAAGAAAATTTATTTTTAATTTTAATCCTTTTGTCCCATTATTGCATTTTGTTGATCACCAATTTTTACAATTTCAAATGCACAACTGTTTTTATTTTTTTCGTCCTTTAGTTGCTGAAGAGGAGAAACAGTTAAATTTGAATTTGAAGTAGGTTAGCTGGAATATCTTAGCTACATTTTTTGTAAATATTTACTTACTATGAGTCGTTCTTCAGGATAGCACGGGTCTTACAAAAGTTTTATACATTGTACCAAAAAGAGCTTTGATTATTTACTATATTTATATGTAAGTTATTTACTATATTTATATAAAGTGGTCACCACTTAAGGATATTTTGTTAGGAAAACACATCTGTCTGAGAACTACAAACTTTTAAAAATCCGGAAGCGACTCCAGGTGCAGAATTAGAATTAGAAACTCTTAAAAAGAAAAATTCTAGTAACGATTTATCACCTTTTTAAAAGGTCAGCGGAAACCCTGACTAATAATTCTGTCATTAACTATTACTGAACAGCACATAGTGGATGTAAGTCATAATTGAAATTTTTTGAAAAGATTTAGAGTTCCCTATTCTCCCTTCAACATATGAGGTTTTTGCAAAATATTTTTTTTCATTGGTGGTCAGATGCAGTAGGTATTTCTAAAAAAGTAAAACTTTTATGTAATTTTTATTGGTACTGAAGAACATAATCATTCGCTAATTTGGCCTTCATATATCTTTTTAAATTATTTATCAGTAGCGTTCAACTAATTTATTATAAATTCTACTTTATTAAAATATTGATACAAATAATCAAGTATGCCAACTACTACACTTTTGCACAATCGAAAACTAAAGCATCCATAATTTTGAAATCATTATTAAAGCTTCACAACGAAAGGACTGGAAGAAAGTGGGTAATTATATGAACTTTTGAATCATTTAAATGTAGTGGCTTGGAAAATAACTTTTAACCAAATTAACTATACAAAGAATCACTCAGTAAACCATAAACTTAATTTATCTCTAATTTCCCCAAAAAGCGTAGAAAGTTGGCAGTCTTGCATAAAATTTGCAGTCAGAAAAATATTTTCTGAAACTGCGGAAATTCCGTAGTATTTGGAGGATATGCTATCGTTTCCAAAGGCCTTAAAAATCTAATAGCGGTAGTGTTAAATCTGATAGGAATTTCTTTTTTTTTAACGATACTAATTTAATATTTTGAGTCTTGTAGAGAAGAAATTTAACAGAAATTGTTTTATTTTATTACCGTCGTTGAACAGCTGGCCCAATTTTGAGTTTACGACTATACCAATGTTCAACAACATAGTCTCGTAATTTTGAACCCAACCCAGAAGACGAAGGAGCTCCCGGAACAAGTAATGGGAGAAATCTTGGAGGATTTTTTTGATGGAACTAACCTGCATTTGAGTTACATGGTGAGAAAAACCTCCTACGATCAACCTGACAGCAAGAAGACTCTAATCCATGAGCCGTCTACTACTGAGGATATTTTACGCCAGCACTGTGGTCGATGCGAGCTGGGTGCGGAATTTATCGCAAATGTATTAAACTATGGAGATTTCAATTTTAATTTTCATCACTTTTTAAAATTTACCGCGAAAGTCTTTTTCTCGACGAAAACACAACATTATCTTTAAATTTCACTATTTACTGTGGAAAAAGGACTAAATCAACCAACAAATCAGAAAAAAACAGTAAATGAGTAGTCTTTTTTTAAAAAAATTTCTGTTGACAACAAGTTTAAACGGGCAAGAGTCTCAAATTCACTAAAATGTCGTTAAGCGCTTTCATCTCTTCAAAATTTAAAGTTAGATTGCTTATAAAAATTAAAATAAATAACACTTACGATAGATTTCATCTTGAGAAACTTGAGTTTCTTTGACCACAAACTATAGAAATACTTAATTTAAATTAAAATCGAAAATTTCATCCGACATTTATATAAGTCCTTGGAACAATAGGAGGAGCAAATACTCTTCCAAGGGCAGTAAAAAAATATTCCAAAGAGCACTCCATTTTTGGGTGGGGTTATTACATAAAAATAAACGTCGTCAATAATTTGAAGACGATTCCGTTACACTTATGAAGGTTATTACAATTATTTTTTATTTAATATTTTCTCCAGACTGTGAATTTAAATGTTAAGGACAAGGTTAGGTAGAAAAATTATCTTTTAATAATAGAGAAATAATAATTGAAATTCAAATAAGGAAAACTTCATCCCTTAAGTGTATGGCTCTCCTAATGTTAATGTTAACCCACAACTAGTATTACTATTCACTGCTATACTTAGGATAGATCCTACATTCAAACTACAGTAATTGGGGAATGCGTTTTACAGTAATATCGTTCAAAATTTACTTTAGTATAGTAGTACAGTACCAAGTCAGGGTACTTATCGATGCTTTTTAAGAACATTTCTTCTAGTGGTAGCATAGTTTATGTTTAATAACAGTCAATTTAGAGTTTACGGCTACCAATGTTCAACACCGCAGCCTTGTAATTTTGAAGCCCTACCAAAAGGCAAGGGAACTGTTGTAGTAAAGTATTGGAAGAAATTTGCCTGCATGGTGGACTTTTTTAATGGAACTAACCCGCATTTGAATTAAATAGACAGATAAACCACGAAAACCTCCAACAGTTAGCCTGACGGCAAAGGGACTCTAACCTATTATCCGTCTACCACTGAATATGTTTAAGGTTAACACAGTGGTCTGTGCGAGCTGGGTAGGAAATTCGTATCGACCCGCCGTCACTGGGATTCGAACCCGGTTCATATGATTGGGAGATGAACGTTCTATCCCCTGAGCCACCACGGCTCAAGTTTATGTTTTAATGTATGATTATTTGTTTTGTAATGTTGGTTTAAAGTTACTCTCCACACTACTACATAAAAATGATTCCGAACTTCACATGACTGGCCACTGTGTTCCAGCTTTCTATGGGGAAAATTTTTAAAATGAAGGCAAAATTTAAAAAAATTTTTAAACCGTCAGTTTTTAATTATTTACCAAATTATAATTTATTTTCCAACAAAAACTTAGTTGTTGGCAGTCCTGTACATAAAAATTTGAAAGTGAAAACTATAATGATAATAAATTTTTTAAACAAAATTTATATCAGTTTTAAATTTTTACCAAGTACGTATGAACTCTTGCAAGTTGTACCTTCTTGGAAGTTGATGAGGATATATTTTAGTTTCAATTGAAAAATTTTGTGATTTAATTTAATAAGAGTAATAATAAAAATAAATAATGTAATGTAAAAAATAAAGAATGTAAGTATGAATCGATAAAAAAACTACAAAGATTTAGTCATTGAAAATTTCCTTCTTATTCGTAATGTATAATTCCTAAAGTACATTACGAATCAAAGCTGCCGATACCCTTGTTTTTCGCCGGAGAATTTCTTTCTGTTTTTAAAATGTATACTTTTACCGTTTACCTGCTGAATTCATATTTCACACTAATGGAAAAAGTGTCTCCATGAAAAACGTAGTAGCAGAGATGAGTATAAATGAAATAGAAATTTTCGTCAGCTAGCTACTAATTTTGTTATAAATGCAACAACTGTTTGATTTCTGAAAAGATATATATCACAAGATATATAATATTTGATATTAATACTATAGAAATAGATTGATAAGAATACTTAATTTTTGCAATAGCAAGTGCTTAGAAAATACTTGAGTTACCAGTTTTTAACATTTTGAAAAAGAAGCATGATCCAAACATAGAACATTGGCATTTAAACCTATCACCCTACTGCATATAATTACACAGTCAGAACCACATGAATACTTCATTTGCATTCCACAACCTCATCGAAGCACCACAAAGATCAACCAAGCTAAAGATAAATGGGAAAAGGGCCGCAAGCAGCCTCAGGTGCCCAGCTGTTTTATACAGTTACAGTAGCATTTAAACGGTTGATATTAAATTTAACAAAATTTTGTATTGATGATTTTAATGACTAAAGAATATTGATACAACTTATGATGACATAAGTTGTATCAACATTCTTTAGAAACATAACGTGTTTGCATAGTCAATATAATTCCTGCTTTCAAATCTGAATTCAATCTTAACCAAAAGTGTAAAAAGCTACAGTTATGGGTTAGGACAACTCATGAAATAACTGAAGATCCTTCCGGAAAATATTTTGGTCCTATAAGATGTATATGCATGCATATATAACAAGATGTATATAATGAATTCTAACAGAACATGTACCGAGGGACCAATATTGGAATGTCTAGATTCTTTGATACTGGTTCTATATCAGCCTATATACAACCAATATAGGTTGAATAATGACTACAAAATATAGGGTAAATCTGACAATTCTATATAGGGCCGATATTGGTTATAAAATGGCTGCAAAATATCGGGTGAATATGACTGATATCGGAAAGCAACGGCACTTTAAACCTTTTTTCAGCCAAGATTCGTGAATATTGGTCCGATGAAGGCCCGAGTTATTTTGTTGCTAGGGAAGTGAGGGTAAAACTTTTGCTTTCCCATTTCATTCTTGGATTCGTAAATTTAGTTTAGAACGGTTTTAACAACCACTGAGCATGGATAATCAAATGACATTGGATATAAGTTCTGGTAAAATATTAAAGTGCTTTTACCTTTAATTGATTTTTTTTATGCTCAATGTATCATTTGGAAAAATGATTTTTAAGAGGAAAAGTTGACAGTTGTATCATGATAACTTTAGCTGAAACCAAAAAGTTAATTACTTTCCGTCAGCAGGTGAGCAGATCTTACCATTGAAAAAATGGTGTAAAAAACTATATTTGAATTCTTCGTAAAATTGTTAGCAAAAAAAGATTTTTTTAAAGGCTAGTACTAGGTTTACATGGCTAGTACTAGAGTATTTGCCTAGTAAAATATATTGTGACTCAACAATGAAAAACTCATATTTCAACCAGTAATCAATTTTATCTATTGGCCTATCAAGACGAAAAAAACTCCCATAACCAGCCATACCCGGAATTGAGAAGAAAGCAAAAACTACCTGTAAAATCACCTATTTTCTAGGTTATCTTTGAAAGGAGTAAAATATTTTTCCAGCCAAAAAAACAGTCCCGTATACATGTTTTAGCTATTAATAAGTCATGGTAGCCGGAACTCAACCCAGAAGGCAAGGGATCAAACTTTGAGACAAATTGCTTTCATGAAACAATTTTTGATGGAATCAACCTGCATCTGCAATGCACGTTGAAGAAAACTGCTCTGTGGCGGTATCATTTGAATCGAATCTACCTGCTTTCGATAGGATTCGAACGAGGGTCACCTCGGCCTCTATTCAAAACCGGATCAGCTGTCAAAAGATATACAATATCATAGTTACATAAACGGTTATGCACATTAAAAAGTTATCAATACTTTACATTATTAATTCACATAAATATTTTTTACGATTTTAAGCCGATTTTTTATTTTGGACCATATTATTGTATAATGAGTTAAGTAGCATTGTTTGAAGTCTCAGTTTCTACTGATGAAAATAAAATGAAATTTATTGATCAGTGTGTAAACTTTATCATATTTGTGGGGAACACTTGTCAAAGCTAAGTTTTTATTCATTTCATTGTAGTTTCGAAAAGGGTTGTGGGAAACTTATTTACAGTCAGGTCATGGAAGATGCAATTAAAAAAAGCTGAGCTATAAGGGAAATTAAGTTTTGATCTTTATTGGAATATAGAGCAGCGTGGGTCACTGTTAAGCATTGACCTAGCTCCACCCTTTGATCGCGGAAGGGGCGGAGTGGGTCAAAAGATTTTTTTCAACTTCATTTTTTATTATTTGATATTACTTAAAACTGAATATAGTCACGCACAAATGATGAAATTTGAAAGTTTAAACTTTCTTCATACATTTAATGCAAAAAATGCTTTCAGATATTCGAATGTTATCAGCTATATTCGAATAAAAAGGAAAATACGAAAAAACTATTCCTATAATTCATTTCGGAAACAGTTTTTTTTTTTTAAGTGAAACATTTTGACTTAATGGTGAAAATAAATATACTATTAAAACATGTCTTGTTCTCATCCAATTAGTTATTAAAAGATTGGAAAACGATTCTCTTTTGTACACTTGAATGATAAAAAAAGTTCTTTAAAATGTTTGAACTAACACTAGTTTATGACTTTCAAATTAAGTTTAATTTTTAGAAAATATTGTTTTCCACTGTCTTTTGAATGGTTGTAGTCTATTAATTTATGACGACTGTATTCTATTTATTTACTTCTGACACTATTCATTTATTTATTCTGATACAATACGTCTAAGAGGTCGAATGTTTGAATTATTTTTTTAATGTAAACTAGACGTAGGCTTATTATAATTACAAAATTATATAATTCTAATTATAATGACAATTATAATTTACGATGTATAAAAATGCCATCCAAAAAAATTAGTTTACGAATAATAAGAAATGATTAAATAATTTGCTCCATGCATTTGCTTTGATCTTATTGTTAGTTAAAATAATGCAAAAAAAAATTAAGTTCTAAATTAAAAATAAAGGCTTAAACTTTTGCACTCCGAGTACTTTAATATGGTGCTTGAACTAATATAGAGACCACATCATATAAACTACGCAGTGCAATGTTTTTATATAATTACTAAATTTCGTAAACTACCAATGTCAATGTAAATTTGTGTACGAAGTACTTAGCCCCAGGGGCTACCTTCATTGAAGATGAAATAAATGAAAAAGCGGTGGAGGAGCATGCGAAAGCAATTTTACGCATGGAAAATTTAAACTCTATAAAAGGTTATATACAAAATAAATCAAGGGTAGAAAAAAGAAAATGTGCAATACTTACAAAAAATTGGATAATAAAACAAAGACCCTTTGAATTCCTGCAACACACCCCGGATGTAGTTCATCTCGATGAGAAGTTAACTAAACGATACCGATTTAAATTTAGGATACGGTGTAACTAGCCAGGGGGGCTATCTGCTTGAATCTTGGCTTAAAAATC